AACAGGATGCTTGCCATTTTCCAATACATATTAACACAGAGATTTTAATATAATATTGAGTCAAGATGTGAAAAGAATGTTATTTTTTCTCTTTCAGATTATTATATATATTATATACTATATATTTGGGAGAGGAATAGAGAGATAGAAACTTTAATTATAAGAGAGAATCATCAATCAGTTGCCTCCTGCATGCCCCCTACTGGGGATCAAGCCCACAACCTGGCCATGTGCCCTGTCAGGGACTTGAACCAAACTGTGACCTCCTGGTTCATAGGTCGATGCTCAACCACTGAGCCACACCAGCTGGGCTCAGATTATTTTATTAATTTACCTTGTATGATTTGCCTATTGCTTTGATTGACTATTAAAGAATAGTGTTTTACATGAATAACTTAGCCCTAATATAGTTGAGTCCCCACTACAATTTAAAGAAAAAAAAATAACATATGATGGGTAGAATGTTTTCTCTCATGTATTTTTCCTTAAACACTGACATCAGCAACATTTGTCTGCACATGAGCTCTAGAAGATGAAAGAGTGAATAAACAAATAGAAAAGGAATAGTACAGAAAAACTCAGAAACAGATGTGTTTACTCTGGCTATTTTTTTTCCTCAGGTCCACTTACGCCTGGCTGTGATTTTACACTGCATACAAAAAAATACAGTCATATGTTCTGCTCATAAAATCAACCCCAGTTCTTATAAGAAATTACACACGGCAGCTTCACACGGATGCTTTGTACTTGAGAAAAGATTCCTATAATATGAGCAACCCACTCCAGCTCTGAGGCGAAATTCTATGTGCTACTGAAATCCTCTGGGGTCTAGTAAGGCTTATGTTGAGGTTCAAAAGAAGTTAAATACACTTAAAAACCCTTGAGAACAAAATCCTTTGGTGTGCAAATGACATGGCCAGAATGTCTATCAGCTTGTAATCCAAGTACTGATCCACATGCATTTACATACACTTTGATGTGAATCAGATTCCAATATAGTCTTTAACCATCAGTTGCAGGACCAGCCAAAAGGAATGCTGCCTAACACCACTGAGTTTGTGTTGAGCAAAAATCAGAAGTGAGAAAAGACAGTCATCCTTGACCTAATTTATCATTATGCAACCCAAAGATATCAGACACAGATATTTCACAACCTAGTAGTATTGATGCATGATTCAACACAACTATTTCCCAAGAAAGGTAAATTATTGTATATCGTAAACTGAGTTTCACCAAAACTAGTAACTCCCGAGAAACCTACACACTGCCACAAAGCAAAAAGGAAACCTATGTTGTTTTATATAGTAACAAAACCAGAAAAAAAGGAGACAGCAGTCCTAACTGGTTTTGCTCAGTGGATAGAGCGTCGGCCTGAGGACTGAAGGGCCCCAGGTTTGATTCTGGTCAAGGGCATATACCTTGGTTGCGGGCACATCCCCAGTAGGGGGTGTGCAGGAGGCAGCTCATCGATGTTTCTCTCTCATTGATGTTTCTAACTCTCTATCCTTCTCCCTTCCTCTCTGTAAAAAATCAATAAAATATATTTTAAAAAATAAAGAATTATAGTAAAAACATGTTTGTGGGCTGTGAGATATTCGTCAAAAAGTAGATTAAATTTTGTAGTTTTTGAGGTAGTGAGCAATGCTGATGATGAAAATGAAGTGGATAAGAAAGGCAGAATAAAGGGGAAAGTTCATTAGAGACAAGAAAATCAAACTTAGAGATGGCATAAGATAGTTCAATGGATGCTGAAAACAGTGATCAGAAGGTCAGGAATTCAGATAGAAAGAAAAACAAAACGAAGTGCTAATCTTCAGCACATGGAGAATGACCAAGCAATTGGCAAATGACAACAGATGAGCCTGATGGCATAAGCCTCGAAGGAGCAGAGAATTTTTTCACAACAGGGTCGGGAGAGAATAATTATCTGGAAGTGGCACTGGGGAGGCAGAAGGCACCTCCTGATCCTATGGAATGAGCAACATGAGCATGCTGCAGGGAAAGCTGCGTTCTCAGGGACAGGCCAGTTTCAGTTAAGGCAAGGAGGAGGAGAAAACATTCTGAGAGAAGACTGTTCTCTGAAAGTGGGATGGGAGTTGCTAATAGTGTAGCTTTCTAGGTAGGTTTAAAAATATATATATATATATCAGGTCTTCCTCTTGGGAGGAACAAGATGTGGCTAAGAGCTTATAACCCTGATCCATGTCCTTCATAATTCACCTTCCCCATCATACCACCATCACACTGGGTTTAGGGTATGCTGTATCCCTTTTACCAGTATTGCCAGAGTGTAGTCTCATACTCTTAATTCTCCCATAACGCACCTGAGACTAAATTGAAATCCATTCATATATTTCTCCCTTCTCTTTCCCCCATTTTTCCTTTCTTTAAATAATCCATTCATTCTGTGAGACTTTCAAAGCCCATTAGGAAATAGCTATAAAGTAACATGCAACAAGATGTCATTGCTGATAAAGAATTACTACTCATCAACTCTTGAATTCTTTACAGGGAGCCCTACATACCTAGTTCGTTTAGTATCTATTCCCTACCTCTTTATAATACCTTCAAGAACTTCTAGAGATCTAAGTGTCCTGACTCAAGAGAGGAGATCCAAAGAAAGATGGTGCTTCCTTGCCCTTCCCTTTTACCAGTATTGCCAGAGTGTAGTCTCATACTCTTAATTCTCCCATAACGCACCTGAGACTAAATTGAAATCCATTCATATATTTCTCCCTTCTCTTTCCCCCATTTTTCCTTTCTTTAAATAATCCATTCATTCTGTGAGACTTTCAAAGCCCATTAGGAAATAGCTATAAAGTAACATGCAACAAGATGTCATTGCTGATAAAGAATTATTACTCATCAACTCTTGAATTCTGTACAGGGAGCCCTACCTACCTAGTTCATTTAGTATCTATTCTCTACCTCTTTATAATACCTTCAAGAACTTCTAGAGATCTAAGTGTCCTGACTCAAGAGAGGAGATCCAAAGTAAGATAGATGCTTCCTTGCCCTCGCTGTAAGACCTGCGTTTCAGGTTTCAGTTTTCAGCCTGAAGGCCTGTCTCTTCCCCTAAATCAGCGATCTTAAACCCATGTGCCGCAAGAATTTTGACAACATGCAATACCTGACTGTTTAGTCAGGGGCACCGAACTCTTTTCCCTTAGGTTGTCAAATTAAAAAATGACAACAGCCAACACAGCAATAGTCCTGTGTGAATGAATGAAAATTATACCTTTGGTTTTTTTAAGTCAGATTGGGAAAATATATAATGTATTTTTTGGTGTGCTGCAGAATTGTAGTAATTAGTTTGTGTGTGCCATGAGATGAAAAAGGTTGAAACTCACTGGTTTAAAGGAATTAAAGGAGTTTGACATAGTTTGGAAATTCTGGAAAGGCTTCTCTGAAAGAGTATTGGTGGAATGGTGGCATCTCTGCAGAGCTGTACAGAAGTAGATAGATTTGAGAGAAGTTTAGGTCTAATCCTGGTCTTTGGGGGTGAAGATGGGAGCACGGGTTTTAAGAATGAGTCCTGGTTCTCAGCTATGAAAGAGGAAATCTTACCTATTGCGACAGCATGGATGGACCTGGGGAGTATTATGCTAATTGAAATAAGCCAGTCAGAGAAAGACAAATACCATATGATTCTACTTGTATGTGAAATCTAATGAACAAAATAAACTTAACAAACAAAATAGAAACAGACTCATAAATACAGAGAACAGACTGACAGCTGTCAGATGGGAGTGGGATTAGGGTATTTGGTGGAAAAGATGAAGGGATTAGGCAAAGAAAAAGACAACTTATAGGCACAGACCTACTATGGTGATCATCAGAGGGAAAGGGGAATTGAGGGGAGGTAGAAGAGAGAAAAGGGGGGATAAATAGTGATAGGAGACTTAACTTGGGGTGGTGAACACACAATATAATATACAGATGATGTATTATAGAATTGTACACCCGAAACATAGTCTTAATAACCAATGGCACCCCAATAAATTCAATTTAAAAAATCTTGAAATTATCAACAAAAAAAGAGGATGAGTCCTGATTTCTGGCTGTGCTGCTAAACAGATGTGCCATTCTCTGGAGTATAATGAGAAGAGCCAGAGGTTTGAGAAATAGCGTTGAGGTTTGAGAAACTCCAATACTTGATGGCCAGGAAGGGGAAGTTGTACCAGAAGGGGAGATAGAATGGAACCAGCCAGATCCACCAAAGAAGAACAGGGGAGTGTGCTGTCCTGGGAGGTGAGGGGAACAGATCTAGCATATCAAGAAGAGGGAGCAGGCAGAAGAAATTTATCCTTTCAGTGAAGAAAAACAAAACAAAACAACAAAAATGGGGAGAATAGGATGGCTGCAGGTGAAGGTAGGTTTGCTATTTTATAATGAGAAGGTTCATCTTTGAAGAATGAGATGAGCTTGCCTTCTGAGGGAGTAGGAAGGCCACTCTAATAAAGTTCGAGACTAATACAGTTCCTCATGTTGTGGTGACCCCCAACCATAAAATTATTTTCGTTGCTACTTCATAACTGTAATTTTGCTACTGTTATGAATCGTAATGTAAATATCTGATATGCAGGATGTATTTTCATTGTTACAAATTGAACATAATTAAAGCATAGTGATTAATCACAAAAACAATATGTAATTATATATGTGTTTTCCGATGGTCTTAGGCAACCCCTGTGAAAGGGTCATTCGATCCCCAAAGGGGTCGCGACCCACAGATTGAGAACCACTGGTCTAGTGGAATGTAAGAGGAGTGCCTAAGAGAGGTGGAGGGGGAGAGATCGATGGCAGAAAAGGTTTCTCACATATATGATTTTAGATCTGACTCTTGAAGGAGACATGGAAGTTTGCTAGGCAAAAAAGGATAGAAGACATTCTAGGTAGAGAAAACAACATATGTAAAGGCAAGAAGAGAAAACATATCAAAAGGCAAGAAATATACAACAGTATAGGCCAGTGATGGCGAACCTTTTGAGCTCGGCGTGTCAGCATTTTGAAAAACCCTAACTTAACTCTGGTGCCGTGTCACATATAGAAATTTTTTGAGATTTGCAACCATAGTAAAACAAAGACTTATATTTTTGATATTTATTTTATATATTTAAATACCATTTAACAAAGAAAAATCAACCAAAAAAAAATGAGTTCACGTGTCACCTCTGACACGCGTGTCATAGGTTCACCATCACTGGTATAGGCCTTGCTACCTTGCCTCAGGCTCACTCAGAAACAAATGGGACACTTGAAAGATTATCTGAAAAGGGTTTAATGAAGTAACTATTTACAGAAATGTGGGAGAGGTCAAGGGCACCAACAAAGGATGGTGAAGCTATTCAGGGATAGTAACAGTGGGAAGCCACTGACCACCTGGCCACAAGGGACAACTGAGGGGATGAAATCTCCAGAACCCGGTGAAAGCCGTAGCCATGGGGGGTGGAGCTACCCAACAGGAGCCTTGATCAGAAGCAGAGGAACACAACCAAGTCACAACCTGGCTTGGGGTTGGGGGATGTCCATACCTGTTCTCCCTTCCAGTCTCCAGCAGGCACCTCCCACTGGCTGAACCCCACTGCAAGCCAGACGGCAAGGGAGTCGGGGAAAGCTTTCCGTAAAGGGTCAGCTTCCTGAGGCCCAGAGAGTGGAGACTAAATCTGGAGACGCAAAAAATCACTTGCATAACCTTGGCCAGTGTGGTTCAGTTGGATGAGTGTAGTCCCATGCACCAAAAGGTTGCCATTCAGAGCATATATCCAGGTTGCAGGCTTCAGTGTGGGAGGCAGCCGATGTTTCTCTCTCTCTCCCTCTCCCTTCGTCTCTCCCTAAAATCAATAAAAATAATTCTTTTGAAAAATCATTAGCATACCTCATCTCACCTCCAAACAATTTTCTGTTTCTTTAGTAGGGATAGCATAGGACTATATACTAGTATATAGCAAGTTTGCCCTTGTTTCTTCTCTAATATAAAGGAGCTTATTTAATTTAATGACTGGGAGATACTCTTAAGATCTGGTTTGCTAGAAACCTCTGCCCTTCACCAAATCTTTTTGTGTGCCAATTTTTAACCACAATGATATAATAGTTATTCTTTCATATATTTAAAAATAATAATCCTAAGACAGTGTGAGATGCTTATTTGTCTATCTAAAAATAACGTTTGTTGTCAGTGGTTGTTCACTTAAGACACTATATACTTGATTTATAAATTCTAGTTAAATCACAGTAAGGTATCTTCAAATTTTATTATGGTGCAACTTGTCCTTTTACAACATTTTTTTTCTCTTTATTTTTCAGATCAATAACTCGATCTTATTACCGCAACTCAGTTGGTGGATTTTTAGTATTTGACATTACTAACCGACGATCTTTTGAACATGTGAAAGATTGGCTGGAAGAAGCAAAAATGCATGTACAGCCATTTCGGATTGTATTTTTGCTAGTGGGACACAAATGCGACTTAGCTTCAATACGTCAAGTTACAAGGGAAGAAGCTGAAAAGCTGTCAGCGGACTGTGGTATGAAGTATATAGAAACCTCCGCAAAAGATGCTACCAATGTTGAGGAATCCTTCACTATCTTGACAAGAGACATCTATGACCTTATCAAAAGGGGAGAGATTTGTATTCAGGATGGCTGGGAAGGGGTGAAAAGTGGTTTTGTTCCAAATACTGTGCATTCTTCTGAGGAAGCAGTGAAGCCCAGAAAAGAGTGCTTCTGCTGACTTCAGACATGCCAAAGAACCGTCAAGAACAGGTGGACGTCATTCTAGGATAGAGACCACCATCAGTACTGTTTTGTAAGGTGTTTGATCCAGAGCACTATGCTAACATGTTACACTACAAGACTCGGCGTTTTGCTAAAATATCAGGCAAAGCAGACAACTTTTTCTTGAAACTATCAACTTACCCCCTTTCCTGCTTTGTTAGCTTATAGCTGAACTAATGTCCAAATATGTCAATATTATTCATTTTTCTTGACAGTTTGAAATGGGGTTTTTGTGCATATATAGTCTGATTGAAAAGATTTTATCAGGAATTATGTTCTCTTGTTCACTTACTAATATTGAATAGTAAAGTGATTTAAAAGTGCACTGTTCACTTACAAATTAAACAATTTCAGAGTTATCAACTAGACTAAAATAGCAGTTCCTTGTTTAAGGTACAGTACCAGGTTTTTTTAAATATTTAAAATATTTATCTTCCCTTAATTTTGCCTAAACATAAAAAAAATAAGTTTTATACTCATGTTTCTTCTTTGATTTATTGCTCCTGAAAAGTTTGTTTTATGAAGCTATCTAAGGATCCACGAAAAATATTGTATTGCAAATATTTATAATGATAAAAACAAAGGACCACTTATCAGCGAATGTTTTGATGTTATAGCATACTGTTTTAGACAATAAAAAGAAATGTATTTCTATACTGACATTTTCAAAAAAGTAAATGCAATTTACCTTGAACTATTGTCAAAATTACCATATTTTCCCATGTATAAGACGCCCCCATTATAAGATGCCCTCCACTTTTCCAACCCCAGATTAAGAAATCAATATTTTAAACATTTTGCTGGTTTTCCTCGTAAGGCCTTCTTTTTTGGCATCTTAAGGAGTTGTTCTTCCTGTTTTCTCCACTGTCTGATCATACACTCAGTGGGAGGAGGTCCAAATTGTCTCTCTGCAGCTCTATTTCCATGCACTTTTGCACAGCTGATTTCATTTGAATTTTGCAGAGTAAGACAATCACTTACCGGTATTTATCTTTTTGTTTTCTGACATCTTTATGGGCTCAGAATGTTCTGGTCCCTGTTGCATCTGCACACTCTCCACCTCCACCTCCAATTAAGGCATCAGCTGACATCAGTAACAATAAGGCTTGTGATTGGAGGAAGCATGTTTGACAAGGTATGGGCAGCTATGCACCCGCAGGCTCCCTCCTTGGCTGACTTCCATGTATAAGATGACCCTCAATTTTCAGTCTAACAATTTTAGAAAAATATAGCATCTTATACATGGAAAAATACGGTACTAATATAGGTAAATATAGAATGTTTTTAGTAATAGCTTTTTTGTCCAAGTAAATTTCTAAATTTCCCCATTTCCAATACAAGTGTAGGAAAGACTTTTCTGGTTAGATGTTAGATACATTTAGCATTCAAGTTATATTTTACATCTCATCAGTAAAAGTAAAGATAAAATAATGAGTTAAGTCTGCAAAATGACTTTTGAGTTTCCTAATTTTGAACTTACTGGTTAAATTCCCCTCCTGGAAGGGACATTTTGATGACAATCTCAAATATTTTATAGCATACATTTCTATTCTGTTCTGTAAACCATTCCTATCACAGAGTGGCACCATGAAGTTGACTTTTTGGAACCATGAGGCTTTTACTGTTAAAATGTAGTAGCTTCATTTTGTTTGAAAACCAAAGTGGTATGGTGGAAAGAATATTTAAGGGGGAATCAAAAAACCTGGGTTCTAAGCTTGCTTTTACTGTACTTTGTCACTTAACCTCTCTAAGCATCCGTTTTCTCACCTGTAAATTGAAGCTGATGATCCATTTATGGAATTACTTTGAGAATCAACTGAATGAGGTGAAAAAGCTTTGTAAATAGAGAAAGCAGAATACAAATGTGGGATTGGTGTCAGCTGCTCATGGGCATGCTGTTCTATTTACAATGGATAAGAATGTGGTTTTCTCATGTTCTTTCCCTGCAGAGAGAAAGCAGAAGGAGGTGCATGTTCTCATGGACCTGGGGGAATTCTTGGTTTGATGAGTACCCTCTGCCCTCTTATCCTAAACCACCACTCCTCCAAAGAGCAAATGCTAGAAAGGGAAATCCCAGGAGAATTAATTGAAGCAAAAGTCATATTGGAGTCTAGTTTTTGTGCATCTTCAAGGTAGATAATATATTTTTAAATACACGTACATTTTCTAGCTTCATGTAAGTATTTTTAATAGTGCTTATGGAGAGAAAAATATAAATTATAACATCACTCTACAATTTTTGAATATTTATATTGTCAACATTTTCTTGATAGCCTTAGATTAATTTCATGTGAGTTCACACTATAATTGACCAGATAAGAAAATACCTGTCCCCCAAAATGTGAAGTAATCTATTTTTACTGTTAAAAATTTAAATCTTATAATTTTTCATCTGTCCAAAATGGCATAAACTCAAAAAGTGAATATCTAACAAAAGGTGAATAAAGTTAAACACCTAAAATATAAAATGTGATTTAACTTTCAGTGGACACATTTTTTAATACTAATATTTGGGCTAAAGGGTATGATCTGTTCCAAGATTCAGAGTATAATTAAGGAGTCAGAAGAAACAAATGGGAAGACAGGGCCCCAAAAGTTGGTAACTACCAAGGTCACCCGTGAGCAGAAGCAAGCCTAGAACGCTGGTTCTCCTTACACCTTAGTCGGTGTTCTTTCCATTGCCATGCTGTGTGAAGTGTGTATGTGTTTGTGTGTGCGGTGGAGAAAAGGGGAAATGAGAGCTAACTGAATCCACAAAATACTAAAATTGGGCTAAATCATTTTGAGGTTATAGAGGAGCTATTTATGGTAAAACAATTTTTAAATGAACAATGACTACAAAGATCTGCATTCTTATACAAGATTGCCAAACATGTGTATAAACGTAGCCAGATATCTTTATCCAGAAATACATATATGTATACATATATAAGGATATAAAATAGCTGACCTATTTTCTTATACAGAATATGAATAATAATGCCAAAATAGTAAAAATATTTGTTCACGACCAAAGTGTCTTAAAAGTCAGATATACATAAATTAGATACAATTGAAATTATTTAATTTACAATTTATTTAATTTAAATTTAAAAATTTTAAACTACTGAATGATGTAGCTAATTACTAAATATTTTAAATAAATGTGATTTTAAAAAATAAAAAACTATCCAATCATATGATACACTTGTCCCTGACAGAAATTGCTCATCTTGAGTTGAATTAACACTTTTTGTGCAAGTGGTGATGTGATGGTTCATTAAATGAGAAGCGTAAGCCAAAATGATTATGTAATCATAGTGCTTTTAAATGTGACCTTTATATACATAATAGTAGCAAACAAGATTTCTTGAGCCTGGAATCTTGAGAGTTTACTCCATGATTCTTGTGTGTGGCAACCAAAGCCATCTTTATTATTAAGATAACTTTACCAATCTATTTATCCAACTTTACAACATCAAAAAACTGAATCTGTTGATTAATAAAATCATTTTAAGAGTGCTTTTGTCAGATTTTATATTACCCTTTGTTCAATTAATTACAAAGCTTCCATTGACTTCAAAAAGTGCACTACGCAGGTATTTGAATAATTTCCTTAGGTCTGAGAAGGATTTGAAAGACTAAAGGTCCATTTCATAAGCTAACTCGTTTTTCCCAAGTAACTGCCTGGAGAGATTTAGTTGGAAATGCAAAGAAAACATGTAATCTTTAAGAGGGGGGTGGTGGGGAAAGATTGTAAAGGCTTTAAATTTAGATCCTTTGTATTTTAATATAGAATACATTCCCAACTAGAAGCTAACTTGGAAATTCAATAGCTGAAAAATAGCTCTCTCTGCTTCAGAATCTTTCTAAATCCAAATGTATTTCTATAGTCCTAATAACCAGTGAAAGTAGACACATGAGTGATGGGCTATGACAATCTCTATCAATCACTACACTATCTAGTTCACTTACTACATGTAATTATGGTGGGGAATAAATGAAAAAAAATTTTTTAAGATTTTAAAAATTAGCCCTAGCTGGTTTGGCTCAGTGGATAAAGTGCCAGCCTGCGGACTGAAGGGTCCCAGGTTCAATTCCAGTCAAGGGCACACACTTTGGTTGCCAGGCTCCAGGGCGAGTATGGGAGGCAACCAATGAATGTGTTGAATATGTCTCTCTCTCACCAATGTTTCTGTCTCTCCCCCTCCCTTCCACTCTCTAACAATCAATGGAAAAATATCCTAGGGTGAGGATTAACAACAACAACAAAAAAATACTTTAAAAATGTTCCTTATTGTTATCTCTCTGGGTAAATTTTTTTGCCTTTTTTTGAAATAGTGCCTAAAACATTGTGACATTCAGTAAGTTTTAGATGGTTATTATATTGAATTAACCCTATTAAATTTTGGTTCCATATATATATATATAGTTTTAATTTATAGATGCCATTCCATTCCATGAAACAAACATGTTTTGCTAAAATCATATCTTGTCTTTTTTTTAAGAATGACAGCCAATGGAAGATATGGTATAAACTTTTTTGAAGTATGTTATTAGTGTTATTTTATTTTAAATAATGAATAAAAGAATGAGAATGAGAACTATGATTGTTACATTATCCATCTTTAGTGAACCATCTTTAGTGGTGCTTTTAAAACAAGCAACTATTTAACTGCAATTAAATGCATGTGTGTGTATTCACAAATTAAGTGCAAATAAGAATCAATTAAACAGATGGAATTTCTTATATATTACATAATACCTTTGTGGACTGTGGGTTAGAACCCCATAACCAAATATTAGTATACTGGAAGGCCAGCGCATGAAATCTCGTGGCCCCACCCACCCGCGCTGGTCTTTGGTCATTACAGTGTTAGGGCCACAGACCTTTTATAATATAGATATGCAGCAAAATGTATGTATAAAAGTAAACACAAAATCTAATGAGTTCAGGTCAGTTATTTTTGTTGCCAAATGAGTTATCAAAAGAATTAGGTTTTTAGAGCTTTTGGATTTCAGAATTATTGAAAAGAAATCATGGTCATGTACTATGCTTTAACAGATAATTCAGAATTTGTGACTTTTTCTAGTTGGTTCATCCTTGTCATGCTTCAGCCTTGCACATAGTAGAAATTTCTTAAATTTTGAATTGAACTGTTAAATCACACGCAAAAAATGTTCATAACTTCTACACATATAACCAGTTACACATGTAAAATGCAGGGTGGGACAAACGTAGGCTTACATTTGTTTGTATGGAAAATAACAAATAATTAATAAATAATAATGTAAGAATAAACTGTTTCACACACTCACAACTGTAAATCTACATTTGCCCCACCCTGTATTTACAATAGTGTTTGGCACATAGTAAGCACTTGATAAATGTCACCTTTTATTTTTGTTTTATTTTTAGTATTACTCTTATAACCACCAAGTTGCCAAGAAGCCAGTTTTAATCCCCATGGTGGGCCAAAAGCTAATTTTGATACTAGCTATTAGAAATGGTCATGACTCTTTGAAATGGTCTCATTCTTAGAGTCAAGGAAGAATGCCTTAATATGACAAACAGAAGGTGATACACGCCGAAACCGGTGCTGCTCAGTGGATACATCATCTAACCAGATGGATAGGCCCACCCTGTATTTACAATAGTGTTTGGCACATAGTAAGCACTTGATAAATGTCACCTTTTATTTTTGTTTTATTTTTAGTATTACTCTTATAACCACCAAGTTGCCAAGAAGCCAGTTTTAATCCCCATGGTGGGCCAAAAGCTAATTTTGATACTAGCTATTAGAAATGGTCATGACTCTTTGAAATGGTCTCATTCTTAGAGTCAAGGAAGAATGCC